ATGGGTCAACACTAAGGGGATGCTACTCATTGGTCACCACTTAGGGGATACTACTTATGAGTCACCACTTAGGGGATGCTACTTATGGGCCACCGATTTGCTGGTATTCCTTATGGGTTACCACTTAAGTCTTAAGGGATGCTACTTGTGGATTACCACTTAGTGGATGATGCTTATGGTCACCACTTAAGGGTTGCTACTTATGGGATACCACTTAGGGGTCGTTACTTAGGGGTTACCACTTAGGGGTCGCTACTTATGGGTCACCACTTAAGGCATGTTACTTGTGGGTCACCACTTAGAGAATGCTTCTTATGGGTCACCACCTAGGAAATGCTACTTTTGGGTCACCACTTATTGGTTGCTACTTATGGTTCACCAATTAGTGATTGTTACTTATGGCTCACCACTTAGGGGTCGCTACTTGTGGGTCACCACTTAGGGGATGTTACTTATGGGTCACCACTTAGGGGATGCTGCTTATGAGTCACCTCATAGGTGATGCTACTTTTGGGTTACCATTTAGTGGTTGCTACTTATGGGTCACCACTTAGTAGCTGCTACTTATGCTTCCCCACTTAGTGATTGCTACTAATGGTTCACAACTTAGTGGTTGTTACTTATGGTTCACCACTTAGGGGATGCTACTTATGGGTAACCGCTTAGGGGATGCTACTTATGGATTACCACTTAGTGGTTGCTACTTATGGGTTACCACTAAGTGGTTTCTACTTATTGGTCACCACATAGTGGATCCTACTTATGGGCTACTACTTAGGGGATGCTATGTATGGGTCACCACTTAGGGGATGGATACTTATGAGTCACCACTTAGGGGATGCTACTTATGGGTTGTAATAAAGTTGGTAGAATTACCGACAATATGTAAAGTAAAAGGACACAAGTGCAACTAATGTGACATTTATTGTGGCAACGTTTCGCTCTCCAGGAGCTTTATCAAGCCATTACAAACAATACATGGACACAGAGGGTATATAAAGGCTCAGAGTGAGGTGAATACTAGTGAGGTACCATTTCGATGTTCACTAGTGGTAGTAGTAGTAGTAGTAGTAGTGGTAGTGACAAAAGTAATACAATATGGTAGAGCAATTAATTCGTACATGAGTAAAAGGATATAAAAGCTATTACTTGGGTAACATAAAAATAGGTTGGACAAATATAAACTGGAATGAGGCAGCTTGTTTCAGTGTTCACTCTCTGTGCTTTGTGTAGTGTAACAGGAGAGACTATGTGATGGCAGGGTTTACTGTTTTTAGGAGGATTCTAGCTAAGACTTCGGAGATGGTGAAGCTGCCGTTGTTTTGTTTAATTGTATTCGAAACAGCGATCAATGCTGATTCAAGGCACTTGCGTGTGCGGAAATTAGTTTCTTTTATCACTAATTGGGCGTCTCTGAATTTCATAAGATGATTGGTGGAATTTCGGTGTTGTACACAGGCGTTGTTTAAGTTGTCGTTCCTACGACATGTCCATGTATTGTTTGTAATGGCTTGATAAAGCTCCTGGAGAGCGAAACGTTGCCACAATAAATGTCACATTAGTTGCACTTGTGTCCTTTTACTTTACTTATGGGTTACCACTTAGGGAATGCTACTTATGAGTCACCACTTGGGGATACTACTTATGGGTCATCACTTTGGGAATGCTACTTATGAGTTGCCACTTAAGGGATGCTACTTATGGGTTACCACTAAGGGGATGCTACTTATGGGTCGCCACATAGTGGATGCTAATTAAGAGTCACCACTTAAAGGTCGTTACTTATGGGTCAGATTTATTATATGATATTTATGGGTTACCACTTAGGGGATGCTACTTTTGGTCACCACTTAGGAAATACTACTTGTGGGTCACCACTTAGGGGACGCCACTTATGGGTCACCGCTTAGCTGATATTCCTTATGGGTTACCACTTAAGGGATGCTACTTATGGGTTACCACTTAGGGGATGCTGCTTATGGGTCACCACTTAGGGGTTGCTACTTATGGGTTACCACTTAGGGGTTGTTACTTATGGGCTACCACTTAGGGGTCGCTACTTATTGGTCACCACTTAAGGCATGTTACTTGTGGGTCACCACTTAGAGGATGCTGCTTATGAGTCACCACCTAGGGGATGCTACTTATGGATCACCACTTATGGGATGCTACTTATTGGTCGCCTCTTAGGGGTCTTCACTTATTGGTCACTACTAAGGGGTCTCCATTTATGGGTCACAACTTAGAGGACACTAGTGACAGGTCACCACTAAGGAGTTCCTTTTTACGGGTCACCATTAAGGTGTCGGCACTTAGGGGTTAGGTTCTTTCACTGAGGCAGCAAATGTTATACTCCAGACAATAGATAAGAAAGACACTGAGGTGTGTCAGTAACCAGATACCTGTAATGGATGTCCGATGTTTTTCCCTTCTTCTACCTGCTTCTCCAGTTGGGAGAAAGCTTCACTCTGGGTACGCCTATATCGTGTTACTAATGAAGATGTATACAGAACTATACGTTCTCTCAGTAAAGCTTTTAACACCTTTGGTTTTTCTTCACTGTTTCACCGATTGACATTTTTATCTATAATTAGCACATTAGTTCGGGTTGTGTTTGGTATTCTTCCTACTTTTTCTTCTATGTTTCCTTTTACAACATTGTTTACTGTCCTGGAGGACAGTGCAAGAAATGGAGATAGTGGCCCTCGTGATGAAAGAGTTGAAGACAACGTTATACAATTTCCAGAGGTACAAAGTAGCAGTACTTCTGGAGATGGAATAAAAGGGTATGATGCTTCTTGGAATAGTTTTGACACATTACCAGCAAAAACTGGTGGAAGCACTGATGTTAGTGCAGGAGCTAAAGGTAGTGGGGAGACACAGCCACATAAAATCCTGGCAAACAGAAAGCCAATCTACGCAAATTCTATGCCTTGGGTATCTGCAGACATGGAATATCTAGAAAAACAGGTAGGACGTGCAATTTTGACCATCCCAAAAAAATGCAGCACGCACATGACAACAGGAGGCTGCAACTCTTCTTCCTGCAACTTATTTTACCCGTTAATGTGTCACTCGTCAGTCCACGAAAGACAATGCTACAACATATATTGTCAGGCACACCATCTAACGGAAACAAGAAGATACAAATCACTCAGGCCATGGGAAAGAACCCATGAGAGCCACAACCACTCCAGAGAAGGAGGTTTTTCTAGTGCCAGGAAGAAAAAACTGGCAAGAAATTTCAGAAATCTTACACCAACTCAGAACACTTCTGGAGATGAGGGGCAGTCACTGGCCTCCACTCCAGAACACCAGATATTAATGCCAGCAAACAAAGCCCCCCTACATACCATCAACATGACAACATTTATCTTTGCAAACATACAGGGTCTAAAGTCATCAACAAACAACAAAATACTTTTCCTCACTGACTGCTCACAGAGTCAAACAGTGTTTACGGCTGTCACAGAGACCCACAAAAAGAATCACTTTGACAACGAAATATGGATCCCAGGCAATAACTTGGGAGACAGTTTAAAAAGGCAACAAAGTGGATGGGATATTGGCCTGTATGTCACAGAGTCGTTCATTTGCTCGGAACTACTAAACACCTCAAATGATGTAGTTGAAGTTTTGGCAGTATAGATCGAAAACGAGAAGCTTGTCATTGTGTTTGTATACAAGCCTCCTGATGCATTTTCCCAACAATTCCAGGAACAGCTTTCGAAAACTGATCACTGTCTGGAAAATCTCCCAACTCCTGCCCCAAACATCTTGCTGCTGGGCGATTTCCAGCTTAAAATACTTAAAGTGGAGGAATGTAGCAAATAATGTTTTAGCAGACATTACCCCAGGAGGCAACTCTGTGTGACAAATTCACTTTAAACCAGCAAAGAGTAGAGGCAACAACGCTAAAAAATACACTAAAAGCAGGGGCGCCACTAGTGGCTAGGAGACAACACAGTAAGTGTCAGGAGCCCAAGACTGTTCAACTGCCTCCCAGCAAACATAGGGGAATTACAAATAGATCCTTGGCTGTCTTCAAGAAGGCGCTGGACGGGCACTTAATTCAGGGTCATGGTTCGTACGTTGGCTTGTGCGGCCAGCAGCAATAACCTGGTTGATGAGGTAATGATCTATACCCTCTCTTGGTATCTCCAGGTACTCTTCCTGTCCTCTCTTTTATGTGTGTTTCTATAACATTATAATAATAATATCTTTATTTACTACAAGTACATGTACAAGATACACAGTCCCAGCTGACATCAACGACATACTACTATATAGAAAGCCGCTTGTTATGCACAGCATTGCCTGCAAATTAGGTCAGTTTTTTTCCAGGATGCGACGCACACCAGTCGACTAACACCCAGGTACTCATTTTACACTAATGAGTAAACAGGGACAGGGACATCAGGTGTCTGACTTATGGAAACATGTCCCTAATGTTTTCCAGCCGTACCGGAGGAGATTCGAACTCCGGACCTCAGTGTGTGAGCTGAGTGAGCTAGCAATCGAGCTAGCTCCCTCAGCTCACAGTGAGCTAGCACACACATAGACTTTTCGCCTATACTTGTTTCTATAACACTGCCAGTCTTCCTGCCTTCTCTTCTATGTTTCTTTTTATAACACTGTTTTCTATTCTTCTCTTCCTCTCTTCTGTGTTTGATTCTATAACAGTTTTTGTCAATCTTCTTGGTTTTTCCACTATTTCTATCACATTGCTACGTCTGCTACAATGCATTTTAAGCTTTTCCTTGAAACGTTGTTTCAGCTATATTACTCTTTTTTTCTGGCACTAATTCTCTAAGTGTGGCCCAGAGAGCGTACTGTCAAATGTAGGTATTCGTGGGATAACGTTT